ATTAGGCCAACAGATGTCATCTTAGGTTCAACTGCTACCCAAAGCCCCACCAGATTTTTTTAAAAAACTGTATAATTCTGACTGCCTTTTTGCATAACATTCAAAGTAGTGACACTGGACTAAGCCTTCTGATCGAGACGGCGAGCTCTCTACTGAAAGAACAAGCCTCGTGCAGGGCTGCGTGCTGCGTGGCATCCATCACGCACGTGGAATAAACACAGTTTTATTTAAACTTCCATTTAGTCCTTCAAAGAAGGACAGATTGTGCTCATTTTCTTCTAAGTCCAGTGACATTCACGCTGAGCTTCTAGCTCTACGACGTCCACCAGGAAGCAGACTGGTCAGGAGGAACTGGGGGCCCTGGTCTGTGGCTGGGCCTCTTCCCGGGCAGCCCCCTCCTCTCTGTCCGCCCCCGCCCCACCTCCGGACGGGGTCGCCTGTGCGGGTGGGAAGGATCTCGTTCCTCAGGCACTCTGGCGTGAGAGCAGGGGTCTGAGGCCTCCTCTCCAGTCCAAGGAGCTCCTTCCACTGAAGGGGCCTCAGAGACCCCAAGATATTGCACAGCCTGCTGCAGGAGGCACAGCCAGTGGGGGACAGCATGCAAAACTTTATCTGGGTGCCCATAAAGTATTTCAGAACCATGCACTCCCTTCAGGTCTGCCTAAAGCAGTCCCTCTTCTCCATGAGGTCTCCAGGGCCCCATGCTCTGTGTCACCTTCTAACTTTCCTCGTATACGTGTCTCATTTCCCCTGTCAGTCATGGGTTGGGAGGGAAAGAAAAGAAATGAGTGATTCAGGGTGAGGGTGAGTAACTAACTTCTCAGCAGTCTCCAGCACGGAGCTGGGCCGAGGTTCACCCACCATCGCCAGCTGCACTGGGCTGGACTGACAGTTCCCATGAGCTGTTTTGAATTAAGTTTGGCAAATGAGAAAATCAACTGGGAATGTTGTCTGTGTCAGTCTGGACCAGAACAAAGGAGAATGTTCAAGCCCATGAAAAGCACAGACACAGACAGTTCACATAAATCCTAATCAAGCAACACTGCAATGAAAAACGACCTTGTACTAGTGGAGCACGTACATATTTCCCTATGCCAGTAATGGGATACTGTTACTTAACTGGACAACAGAACGTATTAAACTGAATAGGACATAAAGTTCATTTATTCATAACTTGCAATAAATTATGAGTAAAAAATAATTTTTCTCTAGGAGGCACAAGTCTGATCCTAACAGGGTCTGTCTTCACTTCAGTGTTGAGTAAGTTAAAAGTAGATGAGAGAGAGTCCAGAAAATATGAAAAGTGAAACTTTAGAGTGTTTTCTTTTAAAAAAAAACCATCTTTTCAAATAAAAATTAATATATCTTAAATACACAGTGACCTGTGGACTTAGTTCATAAATCCAAGGACTATGAAGAATCGTTGTGGGAAAACTCTA